TGCACCCAATTAAACATTTAAGATTGATCCTCATAATATTTTGATCCATACTAAAGATGTTAGAATCGAACTCAAACCCCTAAAAAAAATTAAAAATTGATCATATAAGTTATAAGATGATCTCAAACATTATAATTCTTTTAAGGTTCATCTTAACATCTTAGAATCGATTATTATTTTTCTACGTATAACAAGAAATCACATACTTAGAAGATAAATCACAATAATTATAAATTTGGTTACTAAACCCCTTTCAATATCGAAATCAAACCCATAAGTCATAACATATTATAACCCTTGAAGTTGTTCAGCTACTAACTTTGACCTATGATAATATAGTGATTTCAAGTTCAACTATTTTTTATGAGCTCAAAATTAACTGGGTCAGGCCAATAAATCAAGAAGGTCCAAGACAATTGAAGGGTGGCCCAGGCCCACTTTGTCAGTTCAACCCAGTTCAAGATCCAAAAAGTCCAGAGAGATAGGAGCACGTGAAAAAAAACTATCGGGATACGCACTCATAAGAATACAATCCTACCTTGATTGTACTTACCAAAATAGTAGTACTCTCTCCTTCAAGTCATCGTCTCGCCGTCTCATCATACCTATATAATGTAAGTCTTCTTCACATAGAGGGCATCACCTTGAGACCTCTACACCTCTCTATACACACCAAGTTTCTCTCTATTAAAGCATTGTAATTTTATCGGAGTTCACTCTCTGAATTACTTTATTTATTAATAAAGAACTCCGGCCATCGCTATTGTTTTTCGAAAGTAAAGTAGGTCACTCGAACCGAACCACTATATATCTGTGTATTTGCTCTTGTTTACTGTTTTTATCATTGATTGCCTATTTACTTTTCATTAATTACACCCTTTAATATACTCAACTGTTAATTTTACATGAGACCAATTTGTGTATCATTAATTTTCATACTCCTAAAGATTAGTTATTATTGTTCATCAAAAAATACTTTTAACATTCATTTAAACTACGATAATTAATATTCAAACTCGATAGATTAGTCGAAACACTTTTTATACCTCTAAGANTTCAAAAAATACTTTTAACATTCGTTTAAACTACGATAATTAATATTCAAACTCGATAGATTAGTCGAAACACTTTTTATACTTCTAAAAGTCAATCACTTTTATTTTTTAAAAAATATATTTAAAATTAACTTGAATTACAATAATTAATATTCAAATTCAACAAATTAGTCGAAGAATTTTTTATACCCCAAAAGGCTAACTACCGTTTTCACTTAAATTACGATGGCCGAAAAAGTGTGGGCCTAGAAGACGGGAAGAGAATATAATAGGAGGGACAAAGCTCACATGGAAGAACGTGACCCATCCCAATAGAAGGTCGCCATACGTGAAGTTTGATTGATGGTACGGATGACTCTACGGCGTTCCCATGTGGACCTCAAATCAAATTAGATGTCACGTCAGCTTTTGATGACAAAAGTCTTTCTTTTTCTCCGAAACCCGGGCGGGGTTTGCGGTTAATACAGTTAGAAGCACGTGCTGATTCGTTATATATTACATAAATTACAGTGTAATTAATTCTAAAAATAAAATTCAAATCGCACCAAAATTTATTACCTTTTTTTTTAAATTACACTTTTAAAATTAAAATTACAAATACCTGAGATAAATTCGTAATTAATTATGAAATATTTTGATCGATCATCAATATTTTTTAATCAGTTATAATTTTACATTTAAAAATTTTAATTTAACCTTTAGAAGTATCTATTCAAAAAAAAATATTAAAAATTGTAATTTTTACGATTAATCATCACGTTTTAAGGTTGATCATTACTTATAACTTATATTTTAAAAAATTATAACTTGACTATAAAAAATTATAAATTTTAATACGAAATTGACTTGGGTACCGTATTATTCCTCTAAATTACAATAAGACCTATATGGATGTTTGGTCTACTTTCTAAAAATATCTTTTTATTTTATTAAAAAAAAATTGATTTTGTAACTAGAACTAGCTTTGATTTTATTATTCTTTAATTTTATTTTTTTACAATACTCACATTCTATCATGACTTTGAAGCCTCTTGGTCAGTACACCCACATGGAGGATGGTTGGCCTCATAGTTTTCTTAATGATTCTTCATATTCTAAAGTCAAAAATGAAAACTAATACAACTTATAATCACAACAATATTAATGGCCATAGATACCTTCCATCTCTTATCCGATGATTGTTCCATACAAATTGTTGTTTTAAGAATTTTGCTAACTTGAAATATCTGAGTTTCTTAGAATATTCAATTAATTTTTTCGGAGTCATATACATGTATTTCAAAGAACAAGCTAAAACTTAGTGAATCCAATTTCATGAAGTGATTCACAGGTTTTTGGTTCAATGATACCATTTATCTTGTGAAAGATTAACTTTCATGAGATGAAGCGTTCAAATCTCTTGAATGACAAAAATGCAAATAGTTACCAAGACGGATCTATGTCACTTGGATAAATCATATTCAAGTATCTAGTGTGGTTCAAATTTTCACCGACGAACAAATTTTGATTTAATTAGTGTATAGATTGTGGGATCGACTCTTGTACCTAAAGTTTGCCCTCAATTCTATTCGGACTCATGAACCTAAGAGATTAAGTCGTCTCTCTCTCGCCGAAAACAGACCAAGAATTTTTCCTGTCATCCAAAAAAAAAAAAGCCCTCATGAAGTAAATTTCTAGCTAACTAGTCTTACCATTTGGAGCATCCGAGTCGATGGGTATAATCATTAGCAAACTTAAGTTTATGCAAAATTTGAGTTTAAGGTTCCTAATTAAGCACTAAAATTCGAGATCATAGAAAACAGTAAAAGAGAAAAAGCAAGCATCCAATAAATAAAAAGATATTTTTCACTATACAAAACAACCGACAGATAAGTAAATAAATAATTATCTCTTATTTTGAAAAGACTAATTTCTAAAATGGATCCAAAACATATCGTTTATGTGGACGAGCAGTGGGAACATTCTAGATCCGAACTCCATCCGTTCAAATTATCTCTGGTGTAACATAGCCTAAGCCTTAACTAAATGCAGCAGAAATAATGTCTGATGTGGACACAATACATAAAGAAGAGCACAACACCGACAGAGGAGCAAGTGTCGGTGTACAGTTTTGATACTGCTACTAAACCATCCATAACCTATAATAACGGCTTTTATTCTGTTTATCCTCTCATTAAACACTCTTCTATCCTCCTTTGTTCTTCACGGACATACTCTAACTTAATTTAGGTTGTGGAGACAACTGTTGAGCTTAAGAGAATAATCGGTACCAATCTAGACTAATGTTATCAGAATTGGATCAAACCGGCAGATTGGACAGGTGAGCTAGGACCTTCAACGCTCCAGTTCACTAAAAAGATCGTTTGGATAATTGAATTGTTAGAAAACTGAAAAACAAGCCGGTTTGAACCAAAAACCGGTGAACCAAAGATTAAAAAATCGGCCGGTTCAAAACCAGTTTTCATCTTCTCCAGATCTTCTTCGGCTTCTCCAGATCTGATGTCAAGTTGTATTAGTTTTCTTTTTTGACTTCAGAATATGTCGAATCATTGGATATCATTTTGACTTTAGAATATGAAGAAAACTATGAGGCCAACTATCCTCATGGTTTTATTAATTTATAGTTAATATAATTTTTATTTCAAACATTATTGATATACGATAATATACACATGTTGAAAAAATTTAATATAGTGGAACCGATTTTTTAGACGCTCGAATTTTATATTTTATCGTGTCTTCAGGCACGGGTTATGACTAATAGACAAATAAGATATATCTCAACATAAATAATTAACTTTCTATCCACTTTCTTTCTGATTTTAGAGGGATGGATTTTAGTGAGTTGGAAGAAAAGTTAATCCATCCACTTTTCCATCCTTCCTATTTTTCTTCCTTACCAAATATAATATTTCATTTATCCCTCTAACTTTCTATCCTTCCAATTTTCTATCTTTTTATTTTTCGATCATACCAAACGGAGCATAAAAGAATAATCAGTACCAATCTAGACACTCAATAATAAAAAAACACCCTTCTTCAGACATCATGCTTTTGTGCCGAAAATTTTTCGGTACAATACTAAAAAAGAAATTTATCATCGATTTTAATTGAAGTTATTCATATTCATTGATAATAGAAACAGTAAAATGCGATGAAATAATAGACAAGTGTTTTAAATTTGTCACACTTTTATCGAACATCAAGAGAAACTACCGTTCCGAAACTATTTTCCGGCACGCTGCTATCTCTTCTTGAAACATTTGGATGTTCAATAAACACAATGGATATGTTTTGAATTGACTTAAAACCTCAACTTTTTTTTTTATTTCAAAGGAAAAGAAACCTGGTTAGTTTGGACTCAGGTCTATTGGGCACTTTTTAGGCGAAGACAACTTTTATCATCACCAAAGAAAAGCTAAAAAATTGGACTTATTTAAAGACTTCCAAAGAAAAGTCGATTTTTTTTAAAACACTTCAAACTGTTCTAAGAGTTTTTTTAACTTTCATTTCACTTTTCAAACCTCTATTTTGCACCCGAAAAAACCACCTTCAAACATGCCCAATATATGCGGCATATAGCCGATCAGTATAAGTTCAAAACCACTCTCTTTTTGGAACTTCATCAATGGGGAAAAATACTGATAAGTCATTGCATTTGCAAATCTACTCAGTTTTCATGTTCTATAGGCCAGGAAAATATTATGTATACTCCTATTTATATATTGAGACACACATCCAATTTAGTAAATGAACAAGATTATTAATAACAATTTTCTAAACCCTGCGTACTAGTTCAATGTTCAAACAACTACATTGGGAAGATGTAGAACTACAAATCATGAAGCAGGTGGGCCCAAATGTTTTGTTTAATCAGGGCCCCTCCCCTTCCTCTCCCCTTTATATACACTTAATCTGCTTCAAAATTCTACACACATTCTCTCTCTCTCTCTCTCTCTCTCTCTCGATCGACAGTGGGAGGAAGAAAAATGGAAATGAATGTTTTTCTTCTATTCCTCTTGCCTCTCCTAGCTCCAAGATTCACATTTTCTTCACCAGTTCCAGACCCTGAGCTAGTAGTACAAGAAGTGAACGAGTATGATGCCACATTTTCCGCTGATTCATATTACCAACAATTCAGTAATTACTTTCATCCATTTGTCTAACAATTTGTCACATTTTTGTTTGGGTACATAATGCAGGAGGATCAATAATGCATCTAGGAGGAGTTTGGGCTTTCTCTCTTGTGGAACCGGCAACCCTATTGACGATTGCTGGAGGTGCGACCCCAATTGGGAGAAGAACCGGCAAAGCCTAGCCGATTGCGCTATTGGGTTTGGCAAGCATGCCGTAGGTGGAAGAGATGGTCAAATATACGTGGTCACAGACTCGGGCGATGACGCCGTTAACCCGAAACCAGGAACTCTAAGATATGGTGTTATCCAAGATGAACCTCTATGGATCATTTTTCAACGCGACATGGTGATCAAATTGAAGGAAGAACTCATGATGAATTCCTTCAAGACAATCGACGGTCGAGGTGCAAGTGTCCACATTGCTGGTGGACCATGCATTACGATACAATATGTGACCAACATCATCATTCATGGTCTAAATATCCATGACTGCAAGCAAGGAGGGAATGCAAATGTGAGAGACTCACCTAACCATTATGGCTGGAGAACTATATCGGACGGCGATGGGGTGTCGATTTTTGGAGGAAGCCATGTTTGGGTGGATCACTGCTCTTTATCTAATTGCAATGATGGCCTTATTGATGCCATTCATGGATCAACAGCCATAACCATCTCAAACAATTACATGACACACCATAATAAGGTCATGCTTCTTGGTCACAGTGATACTTACACACAGGACAAGAACATGCAAGTCACCATAGCCTTCAACCATTTTGGAGAAGGGCTTGTGCAAAGGATGCCAAGGTAAATCAACTATAGATAAGAGGGGTCACATCATAAATATCATAAACTGCATATATTTCTTGTAATTTTTGCATAACCCATATTTGTAAAAACATTAATTACAAAAGGGCACTAATTTTCCTCCTTATTTACAGGTGTAGACATGGATATTTTCATGTGGTGAATAATGACTATACCCATTGGGAAATGTATGCACTTGGTGGCAGTGCTGCTCCTACTATCAACAGCCAAGGCAACAGATTTTTGGCCCCCAATGACAGATTCAATAAAGAGGTGAGAACCATAATTAACACTCAGAGAGCTCCATCCATGAGTACAGAGTATTTATTTGTTACTTACTTAATGCAAATGCTATACTAAGAAAGAACAACCTAGTGCACCAGATTTCCACCACTAAACAAAACTCGATTCAGCAAAGCTATCACTGTGAAAAAAGTTGCCAACAAGTGCCCTAAATGAACTGACTTGAAAGTAATAATGGGTTTCAGGTTACCAAACATGAGGTTGCACCAGAATCTGAATGGAAGAAATGGAACTGGAGATCAGAAGGAGACCAAATGTTGAATGGTGCCTTCTTCACTGCTACAGGGGCAGGAGCTTCTTCGAGTTATGCAAGGGCCTCGAGCTTGGGTGCGAGACCTTCTTCCCTCGTGGGCTCAATCACCATTGGAGCAGGAGCACTTGGCTGCAAGAAGGGTTCACGTTGCTGATCAATGGCTTTGCCAGGGATGGGATACCACAATTAGAAGGAAAATCAGTAACACCCTCCAATTGGCTTCATTAATTAGATCATAGTTTGTATTGTAATTTCACCATCATTTTCATTTTCGTTTTCTTTTTCATGATTTCAACCTTAGCCTGTTTCTATATAGAAAAACCATAAGAGCATTATGTAAGAAATCTTAATGGAATCAGAAGAAACATGAGCTCAAGTGTTGGCCAAATGTATTCCTCTACCGATGTAATTATCTAAGCTCAAGTCTTGATTGGTAGAATTCAAGCAGAGTGTACTCTCTCTCTCTCTCTCTCTCTCTCTCTCTCTCTCTCTCTCTGGCCTGTCAACAAATGGAATTTTGATTTTCATCTCATCTAACCCAAGTTAAAAACTCTAGTCTAAGTCTTTCAAACATCCAACAGATTTCCTTTTTAAAAACCAAATCCGACTACGTTCAAAATTCAATTCAGCTCGAACAACATAATTAGAGTCTAAGATAAATTTCAACACAATTTCATCAAATAATCACTCAATTTTATCAGACCTATTTATATTTCCCTACAATTACAATTGGAATATAATTCAATCAGATATTAGTGCATTCCACTACAAATCTGTCAAATATGATAAAGCAAATTCGAATCCAAATAATCGGTCCAAATTGCAAAAAAGTAACCCATGCCAGATTGATAGAATTCAATTCAATTAAGATGGAAGGTGGACAAAACAGTTACATCCACTGGTACCCCTTCTCTCTTGGGGTCCCACTAGGGGGGTTCCCCTCACATGACACCGTAGACTAGGCATAAATGAAACAAAAAAGGAAAAAGCAACTGCCCTGCAATAGGGCCATGATTTGTGGACGAAAACTGCGGATTTCGCCGCTATATCATTGAAAAAGTTGCAACGAAACATCAATGCCCAGATCTTCTGTCCAGAATACCAGTACCTCCTCAGCCATAACTAACAACTAACATGCTATTATTTAAAGCTCCTGTCCCCGACAACCCAAGTTGCCATTAATCATCAACACCAATCCTCATTATCACAACTCAGTCCCTCCCTCCCTCCCTATCTATAAAAATAGTATATGAAGGGCTCACCTACAGTTATACTAGTTTAACCGACCAATAACCCAGCATGAAATTCAAGCCAAAAACATTTTAGATATGGGATTTTGCCCTACGACGTGCGAAAAATTATACTCTTACTGACTTTTATACGACATCGAATGTTTTGGGATACCAAGTAAAACATATACTAATCCAACAATCAAGATTCAACTGGTAAAAAACATCCACCTCAAAAGATTATATCGGTCATTGCAAATCACTGATCATAGCATAACTTAACCGGTTGATATGTTTTTCACCTTGATGACTTTGCCTGCTAGGAAATATCTCGATTAAGCCATATCTTCAGACTTCGGCATTCCCCCAAAGAGTTAGATAAATCACCATAAACTATAGGAGGTTTCTTCCCACAGGAAGAAAGGGAGAGAGAATACGTGTATGAAGAAATTACGATAGCAGGCACCAACGTTCCCCCCAACAGATTTCAAGGGCCAACAGCAATTGCAGAATAACACCCTGCACAATGGGCATGGCATTCGGCCGCACTAACATGCATATTGTCAACAAAGTGGAGGTGCACTGACTTAAATCGAGGCCAGGACATTAAGAACTGTACAACATCGACATTATTCACAGACATAGGGGCCCATTGGCATCTCCTACCAAGTGCATTATAGATCACAGACCCTCCCAATTGCAATCTTTTTTCAATTTTGATCAAGTTAGTGGGAACCAAGGAATGCGAGAGTAAATGATCAAAATTGAGAGGATCCAAATTCATGCATTACCAACAGATAATTTTAACTCCAATAGTACCATCAATCTCTCTCTCTCTCTCTCTCTCTCTCTCTAGCACAATAGAGCCAAGCAGAGCATAGCAGTTATCTCCAGCTAGAACTACCACCTTTAGAAATACTACCTTATTTTGTAAAAATCACATGAGCTTCAATAGGCAGGAAGTTGCAAAAAAAAGACTTGGGCAGGGGATCGCTTCATTGCTGGGGAATAGGCCGGTAAGCAGTATTCAACGCTACCAAACCAGGAGAGTCATGGAACTTTTGGTCCCATCCCAAGTAGAGTCAAGTTCTTGCAGTTGTATGCAATCCACATGAAGGATATTGTGCATATACAAGTTAAAAGAGGAAGACAGCACAAGTCGGACAATCCACACGCGTAGCACAAACTCAACTTAGTTTTATGCAAAAATAGATTAAATACAAAAAATTGAATTAGTAAGAGCCGATGAGGAACCATGCACCAGACCTCGTTTCCGAATGTTCCGAATTTTCATCAGAATGAACAAAAAGAGGTCACAATGACCAAGTAATCCATCAATAATCACAACATAAAACGAAGCAAGGCCAATCTAAATGTAGAAAGAAGTTTTCAACCGAAGGACCAATGGAATGACTCAAGTCACCATTTGATCTGAAAAAATGTGGACACTGTTCTAGGTGAAGCAAAACTTCGGCTAAATTACCTGACAGATCAATACTCGGAAGGGGAGATGACATCATCAATTTTTAAGATCATTTTAACAACTTGGGTTGCAAGCAAAACCTGCTGCTGCTTCCCAATTAGTGCTTCAAAAACATTTTGCTCATGCGTGTCATTTGTGCCAGTATTATTGCAGTCTATCCCACGGCAGGGATTATTCTCCTGCATTTCAAACCCAAAATGATGCTTAGAGAAACTGACTATAATATACTAACAAGATTGTACTCACGCATATGACAGAAATGGCAGTAGCGAACTTCTTCAATAAGTCAAAGCAGGCTGAAAGTGGCAATATGTCCAGATTACCTTAATTTGATGAGATTTCACTGCAGACAGGGTTTCGATGGGTTGGAGACCACTATTCTCAGCTAGTGCCATAGGGATAGCATCCAAAGCATCTGCAAATGCCCTGATTGCATACTGCAATTGAAAGAATAGAAGTCAAAGCTCAATATGCATTAACCAAAAAGGGTAACGAAAGACAATAAAATAAGGATATTGAAAAAGTATAAAAAGGGACAATATATTATCATCATACCTGCTCAACACCCGGAAATTTATCGGCAGCTGCCTCCACAGCAATTGAGCAAGAAATCTCAGCTGAGCCACCATCATACACTATATAATTGTTGCGAATGAGATTCCTAGCCACACACAATGCATCGTGGATGCTGCGTTTTGTCTCCTCTACCATCATCTTGTTACCTAATGCACAATCAAATATCATTCATTTAGATGCCTGAATTTGGTCAGACCATTCTTTCACGCTTCCTTTCTGTGAGATCTTTACACTTTTATCTTTCATGACTATTTCATTTATGTCAAGTATGGTTTTAACTCAACTGTGTGACAATGAATTAGCATGTGAAAACATTACCCTAATCTCAGTGCAATTGAACAAAAGTACAATTACTAACCCCCTTTTTTTAAGAAACATAACGACATAGATAATCTCTAACCGATCTCATTCTAGAATTTAAAATAAAAAAGCAAGCAGGGAAAACAACGCCACCTCATATAAGCATAATTTCCCCCAATTCATCTAAGTTACAATTGTTTTACAACATCCCCAAACAACATACAATTAAAAAGGAAGTGGGCATCAGAAACAACTTCGCAATCAAAATCCAAACAAAACTTCCACAGGGATAATTAAATAGATTGGACCCAAGTGAAACGATCAAATTGTTTACTAGCTTGCAAAATGATAGCCCCCACAAATACAGTGTGCCACTAAATAAAGTCTACAGGCATCGCTTGATAGTGGTAAATGAAATCAGACCAAGCAAAGTCTTCCATTCTTTTATTTGTATGGCATCACATATGAAAATAGTCTAATAGGACAGTTTGGCAACAAACTACCAGCGGGACACCTTATGACAAAGTACAGCAGCGGAACCATAGTTTGTTAAATTTTCTGATAGCATAAAGGAATAATATGGGATGTAAAAAAGCAAGCAATACAAATAAACAAGGATGTAATAATTGAAGGTAAAACCAATTTAACGTAGAAAATGCATAAACTCTTAACAGAATACTACAAATGCATAGGAAAATCATCAAAACATGAGTAGGACAAACTGAAAAAGGATAACTCAACCTACCACCATGATGGTCACAGCCCTTGAATTTGCACAGTGTTCAATATAAATCATCCGATCTTTTGTAGTACCAAATGATTTCTCTCGAACCAAACCAGCCTGAATGAGTAACAAAAAAAGATTAGTGCTTCTAGTGCATCATAAATATGAAATGTTACAAAGTAATCTGCACAATACCCTGAACCTAACATACAACAACAAACTATGTTCAGCATAAAGCAATGTAGAAGACATATTACAAGTAAGGTACAAAATGGTAATACTAGCAACTAAATTGAGACATCCACCAGGTGTGGGCATAAGACATAGCTGCATTTGGTTATTTCATATATCCTCACATATGGAGAAGGGAGAGGAGAGAATACAGTAGTCCAGGAACAATAGCCTTACAGATAAGAGTGCTTGTCTTCACTTAAGCCTCACCTTCAGAGGGAAAAATGTACCCTTTGTGCAGATATGAGGGTACATACATGATACTTCCTTATTCGAATAAGCTACTTGTACATTTTTAGGATTAGTTGACATTCGCTAATATATATTAATAAGGTTTTGTTCATGCAGCCTGTTGCTGCGATGCCCTGCACACCAGGAAAGAATGAGCAATTTTGTTCCCAACATAAAGAAACAAAACCCGATAACAGAAAATAATGCCTTAATTTACATAACTACAAGGAAGGGGAGAAAGCACCTTTCCTAGCTTTTCTGGCGTCAACTCTTGAAATCTGGGCACAATTCTCCCACCTAGACCAAGAAGACACCAATAGGTAAAACCTACCCAATATTTAATCCATATTCTTCTAGAAAACATGCAGTAGCTTAATCGACACGAACCTGTGGCTATTGCTATCAGCTCCAACTCTACACCACCAACCCATCTGACAGCAGGTAAGTTCCTATGCATTAGTAAGTGATTTGCTTCATCATAAAAACCCCATTGGCAGATAACCAAATTAGCACCAACATCCTCCAACTCAGGCAATGACAAGATTTGTAATTAAAATAAGGCACCGCATCAACCAAATTGCATTGGAAAAAAGATGAATTACCACAAACTTCACATTTTGATTGCTACATCACCTACAGCTAAAGAATAATATATATATATATATATATATATATATATATATACACCTAGTATTAAATGCATAAAATTAGATTCTTGTCGATAATAATTCCACATATTAGCTCTGTGTCCTCCAACTTTCCCCCTACTTTCCCCTCCACTTTAAATAGATCTAAGTTAACATCCTTCCTCTCTAGATCTGCGACTGCCAAAACTGGTTTGACAGCAATCTCAGCTAAACTGCGCTTGCATCGATTCACACTGCATCATAATTAATGAAATCAGACTTGCAAAGACATAAAGACTTGCACAGCAACCATCAGCTTACTGTAGGAAATATGAAGGTACCATTTAAGGCCCATAAAGGTTCCACAGCTCTTGCTCATGTGTGCACCCTACAACCTCTATTAAATGGAGATATACGTGTCCACAAAGAAGACTAGGAGAGACTCCACAACAGCTATTTTGGTTGCTTCTGACATAAATGATACTATTGATTCAACACTACATGCATCACTGATAGATTGTACACAATGCTTGCAAATTAAGAAATTTCATATCAAAGCAATCATGTGCAATTCGGAGTGCAGTTCCTACAGGACAATAATCGACAGCTTTCTATCTCTCTTCGATCTGATATGCAGTTTATTATACGGAATCTCAACGTGTAGTGCATATGTCGACTAAACCAACTACATCTCCGAACTCCTAAGTACTCTTGATGCTTCTCCTAACTCCTAAATACAATTGGTGCATAGCACTCAAATCATCACTCCACTGAATGGACAACCATGAAAATATGCATCTCAACCTTACACCAAAGCATCAATTGAAATACCATTGCCCAAGTAAATACACAAAACAAATGAGCATGGTCTCAATCTATGCCCTATCAAAATCATGAATCAATGTTCGAGACACAGAACCACGACTATCAGAATCAGATTTTCAGTAACAAAGGGCATTCCTGGGGATTTTCAAATACAAACACAATGAAATAACAGCTATTAATACTATTATTAAGCTATATGAACTAAATCTCTGAGCTCTAGAATACCTTCAGTTTATTTGCTTTATGATCAAATATATTTTCTCCTCGTCTGTGGGGAAAATCAAAAAGTATCTCATCAAATGGTGAACCATAAAAAATTAGAGTTGAATATAGCGCCATTATTTGCATCCCTATCTTATACCAGTACATCAGCTAAACTACACTCTCTAAGAACTAANATCTGTGGGGAAAATCAAAAAGTATCTCATCAAATGGTGAACCATAAAAAATTAGAGTTGAATATAGCGCCATAATTTGCATCCCTATCTTATACCAGTACATCAGCTAAACTACACTCTCTAAGAACTAAATAAACACAGCCAATAGTGTACAAGCTATGCCAAATTAAGATCCATAAACAGATGTTAGAGACATGGGACCACCTGCCGAAACTCGTTTAACGTGCTTATTAGAAAAATCAAAACAACCTTTATTGACATCGTCTTCAACCACAACAAAAAATATTGACATTATCATTGAGCTGTCATAAAACATACACTATGATTTTCAAAGTTGCAGACTTAAACAACCACTACTCATCAATGTTTCTTGTGAAAAAATCAATACTCATCCTAGCACGTCTTTGAATCCCACATCCCACATGGTAGTGACACTAAAGAACAAAACTATCAGAAACAACCCAGTTGAGGTTACTTGGCTTAAGAACCTCATTGCAGAGAAAACCTTAGAAGATGGACAAATCAGAAGCATATTTTTCAGTGGCCCTTCCACCTATCCAAGAGAAAACAAATTAAGGACTAGTGACAACAGGAGCTTGAGTTAGTGTGGAGCAAACAATCCTGGTACAAATTAAGGACTAGTGACAAAAATCTTGTAGAACACTTCAAAACAATCAGTTAATCAAACTAGCAAAGGATAGCAAACAATGCTGATACTAACTTTTTCAACATAAAGAAAATGGAAAGATCCTGAACTTCAGCAGTAATCATGAGTCGAGGAAAAAAGGCAGGGTGTGGATTATGAGTGGCAATTACGACTTACATCTTGGAGGATAAAGTAGTCATGCACATTTGAATCAAAGGCTCAATGTTTGTTACACCAAATTCAAATTTCTGCACTATACACTCCAAATGATCAACAGCTATCCTTGAAGCCATTTCATAGCCCTCTGCGATTCGAATAGGATGAATACCACGTTCTAACAGCTTCTCAGCCTGTTCTAAAAGAGCACCAGCCATGACAACAACTCCGGTTGTTCCATCACCAATTCGTAGTCCTAACTCCGTGACAATTCAACCATCAGCTTTGCAATTTGATTGTCGACATCCATTTGCTCCAAGATTGTTGCACCATCATTGGCTGAAATAAGGAAATCAAAGTTGCAGTAAGATCAAAACTAACTATAAAACTAGTCAATCAAAAAAAATAAAGGCACTTCCAAATTTTTTCCACAAGGGAACATGGGGTACACTAGTAGTGCATGCAAGAGTGATTGATAAGGGCACCACAAAAAGAAATTCTAGACATCTCACATAACTCATGGGGTGTTGTTTCTTAATTCAATTTATTTACGACAAAAATCATTGTTCCAAAGTATGCAATAAAAAAAGGGGACTAAAAAGCAAGTGATACTTCCAATTTTCTAACTAGGTAGGAAGTAGTTAGAAATTCGATTAAGCTGAGAGCGACAGTTGCACAGTTCATGCAAGAAAATTCTCACTAGAAGGTAAAACCGGCTGCATCCATTTTCAAAACTTGTACACTCATTCAACACAGCAAAAACACTTCATAAACCAGCTATAACAATAACATTTTCATTGAGTTCAACTTGCGATCAAAGAAAACCAATTCAAGTTCGCATAACGAATATAAATCACTTATCCTGTCTCATCTGCTACTTCTCCACAAGTAAACAGCAATGTAGATCAACAAGCGAGACATCCAACAAGCACTAGACTAATGAACAGATCAAAAATGAAAACAGAAAAGTCTCACAATGGCAAAATGAGTTACTTGCGCGGCGTAAGTGACTACTCAATCAGTTGCTATATTAGACATACAAATGTAAATTATGCTTTTCAATACCCTAACCAACTGTGAAATAACTATGCAGAAGCAATATGGCTACTTTAATTGTTAATATCACAATCGAATATATCTATTCATATAGCTACACGTATGTATACATATACACAGAGAGGGGGGAGAGATCGTGTGTCTTACTGCTGGTGACATCGCCGTCGGGGCTTTGGAGCATCTTGTCCATCCCTTTGGGACCGAGGGAGGTGCATAAGATGCGAGCCACTGCTTTTCCGGTGGAAATGTTGGATTTCTGAGCATCGACACCTCTCAATCTGGTCTTCTGTTCTTGTTCCTTTATGATAATGAATGGCCTACCGAACTCATCGAACGCTAACGCCATTACGTTCTCTCTTCACTTCCACTGCTAAACTATCAGATCTTCGGAGGAATTGACTGTGTTTTGAGTATTGAAGAGAGATGTGTTGAGAAGGAAGATGCAAAGTGAGAGAGTAGAGATGCAGGAGAAGCTTTTTGCTTTGCCTTTCAAAATAAAAAATGAAAAGGAGAGCTTTGACATACTCACGGACTTTTAAATAAAAAAGTCCAAGAATGATTTTTAAAATAATTCTCAAATATATTTTTTTTAAAAGTCAAACGAATTAACGTTGTTGTTAGGTTAAAGACGTCAAATGAACTGACGTTTTTATTCTAAAAATGTCAGTTCATTTAACTTTTTTTAGCATTGTAAGTAAGTCTATCACCTTAAAAACGTCATTTGATTTGACACCTTTATAATAGAAGTCAAACGGATTGATGTTTTTAAGCTTCAANATGGTCACAGCCCTTGAATTTGCACAGTGTTCAATATAAATCATCCGATCTTTTGTAGTACCAAATGATTTCTCTCGAACCAAACCAGCCTGAATGAGTAACAAAAAAAGATTAGTGCTTCTAGTGCATCATAAATATGAAATGTTACAAAGTAATCTGCACAATACCCTGAACCTAACATACAACAACAAACTATGTTCAGCATAAAGCAATGTAGAAGACATATTACAAGTAAGGTACAAAATGGTAATACTAGCAACTAAATTGAGACATCCACCAGGTGTGGGCATAAGACATAGCTGCATTTGGTTATTTCATATATCCTCACATATGGAGAAGGGAGAGGAGAGAATACAGTAGTCCAGGAACAATAGCCTTACAGATAAGAGTGCTTGTCTTCACTTAAGCCTCACCTTCAGAGGGAAAAATGTACCCTTTGTGCAGATATGAGGGTACATACATGATACTTCCTTATTCGAATAAGCTACTTGTACATTTTTAGGATTAGTTGACATTCGCTAATATATATTAATAAGGTTTTGTTCATGCAGCCTGTTGCTGCGATGCCCTGCACACCAGGAAAGAATGAGCAATTTTGTTCCCAACATAAAGAAACAAAACCCGATAACAGAAAATAATGCCTTAATTTACATAACTACAAGGAAGGGGAGAAAGCACCTTTCCTAGCTTTTCTGGCGTCAACTCTTGAAATCTGGGCACAATTCTCCCACCTAGACCAAGAAGACACCAATAGGTAAAACCTACCCAATATTTAATCCATATTCTTCTAGAAAACATGCAGTAGCTTAATCGACACGAACCTGTGGCTATTGCTATCAGCTCCAACTCTACACCACCAACCCATCTGACAGCAGGTAAGTTCCTATGCATTAGTAAGTGATTTGCTTCATCATAAAAACCCCATTGGCAGATAACCAAATTAGCACCAACATCCTCCAACTCAGGCAATGACAAGATTTGTAATTAAAATAAGGCACTGCATCAACCAAATTGCATTGGAAAAAAGATGAATTACCACAAACTTCACATTTTGATTGCTACATCACCTACAGCTAAAGAATAATATATATATATATATATATATATATATA